TTGTAATATTTATTGTGGTTCGTACAAATGCCCCGTATCAGTGGCTTTTCGGCTATTTATAGCCAGCCTGCTGATACGGGGGGACAAACGACCCCCTATCAGGGGTCAAAAGGTCGAAGGGTCACGCAGAGCGAGACACGCCCCATCCTATATGAAGAGCTGCAAGAATGTTATCTTACTAACCAGACACCAACTTAAAACCATAGAGTCGAACATAGTAGAGCTTTGCTCTTCTGCTGTATTTGATATACACGTGACGCATCTCCTCTTCAGCACGTCTTTTCTCGGCCTGAAACAAATGCGAATAACTATTGATGTCCATAAGATCTGTACCAGAAAAGCCACTCTGTCACAAAGTGGGATAAACGCTGAAGAAGAGAAGGTGATGAAATATGCGGCCTGTCCACTGTCCGTTGCACTAGTTTTGAAAGTAAGGTCTCGTGAAAAAATGATAAACAACCGCGTTGAATTACTCCCTTTTGATTCGCGCCATGCATTTACGTCCATTCAGAATGGTAATGGCATTTGAGTGCGGCTCGATTTATACAGTACCTCAGGGGGCGGTGCATGAACAGTTCAGTCTTTTCATATTCCATACGTCATCACCCGGCCGTATGCCCTGGGGCCGGGTTCAGCAAGCCCGAACTCGGGGACGGGTCCCCAAATTGGGGCTTGCTGCACCCGGCCCCAGAAGACGGAGGGGTTGATGACCTAGACAGCGTGCGATCTTGAATTTGACCGCTGGACAGCCTACATGTTGCCGGGGCCACTTGCCACTACTCCGCCAGAAGCACTCATATTTTCTTCATATTGTCGAGTGTAGGGATCGAATAACGTACCGCTATTTCTTCATCGGTCTTCGTCGTTAATACGACTCCACCAGTACTTTTCTGAAAAAAAAAACTCCGGAGTTTGACGGGATTTTTTGAAGCTCTGGAGATCACTGGCTAGTAAACTTACTGTGATTTCTGCCGATGAGGGTTTTATCCTTACAGAAATGATGTACTGTTCCTGGAAAAAGCTGTGGATGAGCCTACCGAATGTGACATAAACGAACTAGGATTCTGTTCGATGCAGATCTTGATCTCCTCCAAGTGCCTTGAATAGATCATGCAGCTTTTCACAAACTTCATAATCATGCATAAATCATGGTATACGGTAGTTCTTTGCGACAAATTGAAATATTCTATGAAATACCTCCGAATGTTTTCACCGCTTTCTAACCCCGTGCCAGATCTAACAATTCGCAAGTTCGCATAAAGGGATCCCATTGCAGTACTATGAAAAGCCTATAAGCGGATTGCTGCCGCCAAAAAGGGGGCCGTGCATTCCCTCATCTGGTCAGCACATAAAACCCAAGATAGCCGCACTTTTGTATTCGAAGTCAAGCGCGGTATGCTTGCAGGCACTAGACCATACAGCTTAGCCCAATGCATACCGCTCGAGGCATAAGTCACGGTAAGCATTAGCCTTAAGCGGATGCCTGACGCCAAAGCCTAACCTTAGCTTCAATGATCGCGCAGCTCTGGTGACCTGACCTAAGGTAGAGAACTGAACGTCGTCCCTGCAAAAGCAGGGTTACTCAAATCAAGCTTCATACCCAAAGGTCTCATCGAGTTACGATAGGTCCTCTTCTGACGCTACTAATGAAATCTCGCGATGCGAAGGATGTGCCAGTTACTGCATAATGTTCTTTCAGATCTACATAATTTCCTCCCTCCAGTTTCATAATACGCTTCCCAGAATCCTTTTTACACAAAACTGATTGATTGCTTACTGTGACCGTCGATCTGCTCTCCGCCCGTACTGCTTGTCGCACGAGAAAGTCACCAACTCTTTGTAACAATGGGGCCGTCTGCAAAAGGAATTCATTAAATTTGCACAAATTCGACTTATTAGATGAAGAACGTGCTAATGAGGCAGCTAACTATCTGGTTCACACCAGGATTTAGTGAAAAAACCTCATCATGTCGTCCGCTCGCAACCACGCGCATTGCTATGGCAATACGTAAGGCCATAAATGACTGTGGAGATGCAATTTCCAAGCTTCAGCTCTTTTGAACACTCTTAACCGCTGTTTCAGTCTTTTTTTAGGGCTGTTTAGATTAAATTAGACGGGGTTCCGCTCACTCCTACAACGAGGTGAAGAGAAACCGCAGCCCCCAACTGGCAGGTAGTGGACCTACGCAGTCCTGTTTTTTTTTGTGGAATATAAGTCAAGTAAAAGATTGTAAAGCTGACATTTAGACGGTATTTTTGAGGCGCAATTTTCTACCCCATAGGACGAACCCCACACCGGCCCTCACTAGGGTCAACCGTCGCCGCTCGCACTTATCCAAAAATTTGCGCGATCCCACTATTCGACCATCCGTACTTGAGCTTCCAACAGTAGCGACCCTTCCACCTACCCGGGCGCCACCGCTCTCATTAAGGGCTTTTTTATAAGTGTGATGTGACATGAGGACCTGTTCATCACCTCCTAACTTCAGTCACTTCTTCCTCCAAGCCGGGCCCGTCCAACAATAAGCGAGAGGGTGGGGAGCAACATTGCTATGAGGCGGAGGCAAATCCATCCAATGTGTGTACTTCACTCCATAGTGCAATAACCTTCACCCCTGACATAATCAGAACTCCCCTCGTTGGGAAAAATAGACAACGATGGTGTGACGGACATACCTTACACCAAAACAACTCTTAGATTAGCGCCATTAACGAACGCACGGCATTTGTGCAATGTCTCCATAAAAACGTTCGTGAGTTTTGAAGAACGAAGCCAATTTGTTCACACTACACACTACAGGTAACCACAAATCAAAAGTGATCCGTAGTGTACGTATATCCCTGACAGATGCAAACCCTAACACCGTAACGACTCTGTGGTACTTGTAGCTGATACCTGAGTTTCTATCACGACTAGGTCCTACACTATTTACGAGAATGTGTGCGAAAGCCAATCTGAGGTCTTCTGAGCCATTTTTGTCGGCGACACGCCTGACGAGAAGCCGTGATAAGAGAAATTTTCCGTTTCCTTATCACATACACCTGTCCAAGAACTGCCTTGTCTCCAGATTGCGCCTTTACGCAAACTTGCCCCGCACTCACAACCACAAACGTCAGAATGGACCAATTTATCTAGAATTCGCTAATGTTTGTGCTTTGAACATCTAGCTTTTGCCAACATATCACCATCACGAACCGCTATGGGTATGTCGCTTTGTCGTATGTATGGACTTTTGCCTCCCTTCAAGAGCTTAGCCCGTACAGCCCATTCCGGTCGCACCACCCGGGGGGATCCAGTTCGACTGCAGTAAAAAAACAATTCTTAACCCTTTGACGACCGCCGTTATGAATGCGTCACTTCACTTCTTTCTAAATTTTTTCATCAATAATCATTAACTCTCCAACAATTTCACTATTAGTAATTAGCGCATTATTCCGCGAATTCGATGATGTATTTGTGTAGTTTTGAAACATAAAAAATGCCAAAATAAACCCCTAAAAACGTGTCGCCACCGAGCGAAAGTGTGGCCCACCGGCGGGCCACACGGTCGTCAAAGGGTTAAAGAAAGTATAAGCGCAGTCTCTATTAGGTCCGCGTCAGATCCCGCGCGAGTGCATTCACAGTCAGCAAGCTTGCAGCCGGCTATGGGCGATGTCAGACTTTGCGAATCGCGCGATTCGCTAGCGTCCGCGGTCGCGTTGCGGTACCAGCCAATTGAGTGATTCACTGGCCGCGACGCGACCGCAGACGCTAGCGAATCGCGATTCGCAAAGTCTGACATCGGCCTAATTCCCATGCTCAACATCGCGCGTTGCTAAACTTGTGTATCGATTAGAGCCATACGTGGCTCCACCCACTCAGCGTCCCAGCTAGCGCTGGCTAAAACCACAGGAGTAACGTGTTCGCGGCTTGATCATCTGGTGCAGCCAGCTTCAAGTTCCTGGCTAGCGGTAATGGCCAGCTGCATGTTTAACTAGATTAGATACAGTCAAATAAGCTACGGTAGCTTTCAATTTTTCGCATAGTATTTAAAGCTCTTGTAACTATGTTGCCTTTTTACTGCAGTAATCAAGCCGTCGTCCTTTTTCAGCTTGATCTCCTTCTGCACTAGAAAATCATAGGCGCTACCGCAAGACACGGGGGCATGTGGGGGTGATGCACTTAAAATCGCGTCAGACATCTCCTTTTTGTTAAGAATGGGACTAAGCCTTAAGCAGGGGAGAGAAACCCCATGTTGCGTGAACAGATCTCGATCCAGGGTACGTGAGCAATCTTTGAATCCCTCGGAACTCCTATCCCTTCTAGGCCTAGTACTGGAGGATGCCTCCTTATCTTGCGATAGCACCAAATCACGTTTTCCTCTCGGCGCATCGATTAGAATTCTAACACAGCAGCATTCTTACCTGTTCCCTAGGCATGAAACCATGAAAAAAGTCCTCGTTCTTCACACTCGGTAACCCTCCAGCTTCTGAATCGCGAATTTTCGTGATCACTATCTTTTTTTCTTGGTACATGCGACTTTCTTTCGTCTTCGTTCGTTCCAATGCAGTTCTCTGCATCGTCACCTGAAACAAGGCCTGAGTGCGAGAACTTGCCGAAATGAGCTCCATGAAGTCAGAACGAACCTTTTCTTGCGACATCTCCACCGTTTGGCTAGGAATATATGAAACATCTGAACCACACCGTCAGGCAACCTTTGAGTCTTCTATTTGTCATGATAACTATGTTTACACTTAGCATTCACAATGATACAAATCATTTTTCCACAGTTGCACGTAATGCAGTAATTTACAATTCCTGTAAGCTTTTCCACATGCAGAAATGAACGAACAGGCTTCAGGAAAACTTCAAGGAGTGTTCATAGTTGGCGATCGTACGTGCGATAGGCGATTAGGCGAGTAGTCGATTAGGCGAGTAGGCGATAAGAGAAGGATACGTATTGATTTGTTGCTCCGCCCATTGAGCGATCGCCTAATCGCCTACTCGCCTACTCGCCTAATCGCCTAATCTATACGTTTTTTCCATCGCCTAATCGCCTAATCGCACGTACGATCGCCAACTCTGAACGTTCCATAATATCTTTGTGAGTTTTTTTTGAGAATCCATGCGACATGCTTCGATCCTTCAAAGAAAATCGTGTAAGTTGGAATGCTTATTAGACTAACAAAATACCAAGGATAGATAGCCAGTGAATATGGTTTCTGCTTAAGTTCAAAAATCCCATCTAATTGGAAGTGGTCGAAAGCTTCCTCTCCCTCTCCCGCCGGTGCTATACGCGCTACTCTCTGGCGACAGCCCTATCGGTGGGGGAGGGGAGATAGGTAGGTTGGAGAAAGCTTGAAGTTGAATTTTTGTAGATTCTGAAACTACATGAATCTCCACAGTTTGTCAAGGTTTTAGGAAGTTATGTTTTTTCTTGAAGAGTCCTGCCTCACGCTTCCCGGCCGGGGAATTGCTGCATATGGCTTAGGCCGATGTCAGACTTTGCGAATCGCGCGATTCGCTAGCGTCTGCGGTCGCGTCGCGGCCAGTGAATCACTCAATTGGCTGGTACCGCAACGCGACCGCGGACGCTAGCGAATCGCGCGATTCGCAAAGTCTGACATCGGCCTTATATTGCTCGGAGCACCGGTGCGTACTAACTCGTATAACTGCATTCGTGTAGCTGGTGAGGGGTGTATCAGCCCTCAAAAAGACCCGTTTCAGACCTGGGGCCAAAATTTTTGAAATCGGTCGAAAACCACAGTTCCCTCAGGAGGGCTTTCTGCAACAATCCCTGACACAAGAAACGGGGGGGGGGGAGGAGGCGGTCGCGCTGATTTTTTTTGGTGGATGTTAACGATCGAGTATTTTTTGATGGTCGGAAAGGTGGAAAAAAAGACGTCGTCAAGGACACCGTGAGGAATTTGAAAGGAATTTACGGCCATTTTTTCCTGACTAAATCTATAACTGTGAAAGAAGCATTCAATTGAGACTCCATGTTCCCGACATTCACAGTAACCATATCCATTTCGTTCGGTGGATTTCGATTTACCCTACGCGGGCGTTTTTGTACAAGGATCTGTGCATTCTGTGTATTTATTTTATTTATTTTATTGTTAAGTGCACTCTAAGGTGCGCTCCAACCCTCTGAACATGAAAACCGAGAACAAGATGAAGTGAATCATAAACGCAACAAAAGTATTGGCCGTTTATTCTATCAGATTCGAATACATCGGTGTATACCAAAAAACGTCGTAGTCGCAACACAATTTCACAAGTAACTTATATTCACAAGGAATTGGTACTTAAAGGCACGGAGCGCCAGTTTGTGTGTTGAAAAAGGGCCAACGCGATCACTATAAGGAAGTTTTGGGCCTCAGGAAATTGAAACTTGAAACTTTGAAATTGAAATTGCGCGGGCAAATATCGAGCTCGTAAGCGGCTTGGTAAGACCTTCCTCATTCCTCTGCATGACTGATTGGCTACCTCAGCTGCTGTGCCGCGCCTTCGACTCTAGCCGTTTTAGCGTAGGGGTTTCCATCAGCGACCAACTTTTCTGGCCATCTGCGTTTCACTGCATCCCAGATCGCCACAGAGGTTCTGACAACAAGTGATAACCAGTAACCAGTAATTTCGCACCAACCCACTAATTGTCTTCTTGCCCGTAGCTGACAGCACCAACCTTCTCCAACCCCGGGATTTTGTATCAGGTACTGTTTCTTGTGAAAAAAGGCAGCTTTCAAATCTGCAAAACCAATTCACCAAGCGTCTTTTCCGAGCCTTACTACTCCACCGATCTGAACTTGCCGATGTTCACTACAACTTCCCAAAAAATGCGCGCTACTGGTATCTTCACGTCAATAAGATCAGATGAAAATTAGGATGTGCTTCAGAGAAACAGAAAGAAAAGAAACAGTAGACAACCCATTTATTTGACAACTTTTTAAAAGGGAGATATTCACACGACTTTAAACCAACCAAACCAATACAATAATTCGACCCATATACAAAAACAAGTACCGAATCAACGAAATGATGCTTCACACGGTGTGCTCTGACACAATATTGACAGACAGAATACCACTGGGATTATACTACAGGAAGGGTACAATCACCTATTGGGATACATTCGAAAAATCCGAAAACCGCTCTTCATATCAATTCTAAGCAGCAACCTCAGACAGTACGTGTGTGATATGGCCTGCTTCACCAGCGAGACATCTCAGGCATACTTTTTGTGATTGCCGAACTTTCTTTTCTGAAAGCAGAATTCTGTGATGGCAGAAAACACAATTCACCCTATCCACCCTTCATTCTACAGCATCAGTAGAACTACATAAGGAAAACGGTGGACGGTGGGGAGGGGAGGGGGCATCTAAGCGATGACCATCAAGGGGCGGTATTCAATCCTTCCCCAGGGGATATATGCCCTCATTTTTTTGATTGTCTCTGATTCAATCCTCTGGGGGGGGGGGGGGACAAAAAAGGGTTGCGTCATAGGACCTAGCATACCTCTGTGTTTCTACCTGCCAGACAGTTAGAGCAGCGCGACCCCTCAGGGAAAAGAGTGCTTCATCAGTGGAGGGTAGTAGCGCTGCTCTAACTGTCTGGCAGGTAGAAACACAGAGGTATGCTAGGTCCTATGACGCAACCCTTTTTTTGTCCCCAGAAACACGAGCTGTGGCGGTCTAGAGCCGCAACCTCTTATTTTGTCCTCCCAGAGGACTGAATCAGAGTAGGGGATATATCCCCCTGGGGGAAGGATTGAATACCGCCCCAGAACATGCAGATACTTCAAATTGAAAAGCCTAAAGTCATATATACTCGTCCCCATGGACTTATTCTTGCAAAGCTAGTGTATACAGCACCAATTTGAGCGTTTACCAACCACAAGACTTCAGATTCAGCTTTTTGGTGTTACAAGAGCATAAAGTTCCGCAAAAGTACACTACTACAGCATTCTGGATGTCTTCGACTAGAAAGCCGCGTCGCGCGGACAATAGGAGTGTCAGCGGACGAGAGCAGCGTGTAGCCGCAGTGATTCGCGAAAGTATAATAGATTTAGCCAGTACATACTACATCGCAATAACGCGACGCTCGTCACCACATGCCTTCCTGTCGCGCGACGGGCCTCCTGTCGTATACCCGTTTCTTCCCTCCCTTTGAAAAGCTCATCCTTAATAATACACGAAGCATGTCCATACTATTTTGTCAATACTGTCGCGCGTTCACTAACAACAGTAGAGCGCCCACTTACGGTAAAGCGTAAACTGATGATGATGGGAAGAGGCAAAAACAGCGCACAGAAAACCAAAAGTTTAACCCATAACGGACGGCCAGTGTATTTTTGCGTGCGCCACCATGTGGCGCACGCCGCCACCCAGGGTAGGGTTTATGTAGGCTTATGTGAACAGCAGGGGTAAGACGGGGCTAAAGTAGGTGTCGGAGTCTCATCATCCGAAAAAAGAGATTTCCGTTGACGACAAGTTCGTAGCCCGCCTTTCCGCTCTAAAACTAGGGTGCAAAGAATGAATGGAAGCTGTAGGTGACATTATCGAAAAATGCGAAACAACAACCCCGAGCAAGGATGTGGCTATATTTAGGGGAAAGGGTCTCGGGACGTGCGAACCATGGGTAAGCCACCCATCAAATAATAAATTAAGATAAAATGTATGTAAATTTATTGTAGGTTTGTCAAAAATCCAGCCGTCCAGGTCCTGGGAAGATATGTTATTCCACATTGCTGAGAGTATATATGGGTATATTAAGATTGCTAGAAACATTCCAAAAACAAAAGAAATAGTCGTGCGCCACCTTGTGGCGCACGCCGTCCGTTATGGGTTAAAGAATACGAGATAAAGAATAAAGTACAAGAACTGAGATAACTCACCTACTGGCTTATACTCCCAGTTCTCTTTTTGCGGGATCTCACTAGCAAAGTCCTGTATGAGAGGCCTTTTGCGTGATATTGTTCTCTGGACATCCTCGAACATCTGTAACAGTGTATAGAGACAATGTATTAGATATAAATCAGGAGGCACACGATAGTCAAAACAGTACGTTTCCGCAGACTAAACCATTCCCGGTTGAGACACAGTGAAACACAGCTACTTGGTTGCTACGATACAGATTTCAAGGAGCAGCCATGCCATTTCGACTAAATATCGCGTCGGCTTACAATACACATAGGCCTGGCCCTCAATGGTAAGGCTCAGCAAAAAAACTCTATGAAGAGGAAAACTGCACAAACCGAGGAAACTCATACAAACGCTAGCGCACTGGCCTGCACATAGGACTTCTGAAGAAGGTATCTGGGCGGTAATCTTGAAACACAATCGTGTGTCTAATAAAGAGAAAGGCAAATACGTCTCAGGGATGACACCCTGATAAACGCACAATGACATTAGCCCCTATTGTCAAGGAAAATGTAACGCAACCGGAACAGTGTATAATGTGAGAACAATAGACGACAACAGGTGAAGAGGATAAGAAAGTGTCTGGCAACCATCCAATCCGAGTCGACAATAGAAAACAAACTGACAAAAATTTATTCGTGTTAAATAATATGAAAACCTGGCAAAAACGATCGAAAATTTAACTGAGCTATATGCATTTAAGGCATTAACATACCAAATCGCTTTATAGTCTGGTCGTCAAATGAGATTCAACGAGAAACAGCAAGTGAAAACGTATAGAACTGTAAATGTGAACACATAGTGTTAAGAAACCAGTTGCGCTTTTAAGGCGAAGTAACTAGATTATGAATCACAGAACAAACAATCACTACCAAATGTACAGAAAGGACGTCATGAGGAAATAACGCACTTCTGATTTGAGTGGTCGGAAGTGCAGTCAGTATGACGATAAGATAAGCCACCTATCACAGCATATAAGACGCTTACTACTGAGGCCCATCTCACTATCACTACCAGGTAATTCTTCAGAATCCAAATTCATCGAAAATAATTTGAGATTGCACGCGGTAAGTGAGATAAAAAGATTCTGCCTAGACGACGGTGCCCGAACGGATGCCAATTTTTGGGCAGAGATAAGCGGAATCATTAGGTGTAGAAGCCGCTTTCGGACATCTACTTACCCACTCGCAGCGGGGTTAGGAAAAAGGCCTGGCACATGAGGTCTGTTTCAACAAACCATAGTATGATGACATACAATTGTTCCGGAAGGGAAAATAGCGATACATGGCGCGACCCAACAGACAGATCAGCGTCAATGTTGTACGTTTCGTGAATCACCAATCAGTCAGAGACAATACTCATAGCAGTAAGCGTCATATGTAAACTAGTCAAGAAAAAGGTCAAGTCAAATAGACAATAGGAATGATAGCACCAAAATCTCTTATGATTTGCAACATGCAGAAAAGAAAAACGACGAATATAAAGGCACAAATAAACAGGTTTCGGATAGCAAACCTCTACAGTTCACTATGGCGTATTTTCGAATCCAAATATTTTTCCAGTTTTCTCAACTTTCTCTCCATTTTTTCATGTTTTGCTTCAGTTCTACGTCCTCCACAAGCATGCAACGTCATTTTCCCTTGCTTTTGACGTTCCTCACGTCGGCGGTTCGAGTTTGCTTTCTGGCAAAAGATAGACAAGGCTCAAATTACTTCATTCACAGTGTCCTAAAGAGTTCCAAGGTTTATATGGCCTTACATTATCCCTGGGGCCAGCCCATGTACAGTGAGTGTTTTTCCTCCCTCTCTGCGGGAATAATCTTATACTACCTAACCGACCGGCTCACAATCACAGCATCGGTACCATACCCTAGGTCTTCAAAGACTTAAAACTCACCTTATGAAAAGCGATCTTCTTGAGTTGTATATCAAAGTGAAGCAATTCGTCTTTCATGATATCCAGATCTTTCTGTGAGAAATTCCCATTCATTTGTGCCTTAAGAATTAATGGGTAAGCAGTATTTTATTAGGTTGTCTCATAAGATAGTGTCGCTTTTTTTCAACCCAAAAATTTTCATCTAAATCCTCATTCTTTTACATCTGTTCGTATACCATTCGAAAGAGAATCGTCTGCTCTACAAGATGCTGTGTTCCTCTTCCACCTCTGTTCCAGGGTTTTCAAATTTTAGGCCTGCGAAATGGGAGGTCCAGCCGACAAAAATTGACCAAACCGACAACTATCTCTAACTTTATCTTCCCTTGGGAGAAATCAATCAATACTGTACCCTCTACTTATGCATGACCTCTTCTAAACATTACACTATTAGGTTTCCCAACAAGTCGCGTCATTCCATTTCCAGACCTGGTTTTTCAACCAGAACTCGACGGTCAAGCACCATTACCTGAGATCTAGGTCAAAAATTTTTTATAGCCGAGACATTGAAAAACTAGTAGAATTTAAAGAACAAGTCATGACTAATGTTAGGAATGTACGCCTGGTTGATTTTCTCATCTTCTCAAGGATAATTTTTTTCAAAGAAATGCGGTCACTTTCGTGGATAAAGCACCTTACTCCTAAACACCTAAAATTCGAGCTAATTCCTAACAAACATCAAAACAAAACAAATGAGCGAATAGAGCAGAAGAAGTGCTCACAAAAGATACACCAGTTGATATAAAACAATAGCGTTTCAGAGGAAGAATTTCAATTTGAAAATTGCCATGGCTTATCGGTCGGCCAATTCGAAAAGAAACAGGGCAAACCTTTTTCGGCAACCTAAGGGTGGAATGTTCAGAAGAGGTCATGAGTAAGTAGAGGGTACATCATTGATTGATTTCTCCGCAGGGAAAATAAAGTTAGAGCTAGTTGTCGGTTTGGTCAATTTTTGTCGGCGGGACCTCCCATTTCGCAGGCCTAAAATTTGAAAACCCTGAAACAGAGGTGGAAGTGGAACACAGCATTTTGTAGAGCAGACAATTCCCTTTCGAATGGTATATAACACGACGTAAAAGTAGTAGGATTTAGATGAATATTTTTCGGTTGAAAAAAAGCGACATATTTATGAGACAACCTAATAGAATGAAAATATAAGAAAGGACCAACAATTACAAATTTCTATAGAGCAGCCTCCGAAATGGACGGTTTACTCTAAGATAGGAACGAAAAAGGATGACTATAACAAGAAAAAAAAAACAAGGTGGTGAGGGAAATGGGACAAACAGAGCAAGACGTAGAGCAGGTTTCCGAAAGTGCACAAAGAAAAAATAAAAGGATGCTTTCTGATATTGATATATGATCAGTTCTGTGCCCCAGAAATGGCAACTCTCTGAAAAAGAAGCCCATGGTACCGAACACCTATGAAAACAACAACTTACAGTTTTCCATAACCGTTTGACGCGATCATTTTCGAAAGGACTCTTGCTGTCTTCATGAATCTTCTGATGAAGTTGATCGATGTGGTCAGACATTTCGCGGTGCACTTTCTTCAGTTGCGCTTTCTGTGACGTACAATATAGAGATGTGCCAACTTCATGAGACAACTAAATTCGGATTGGAAATCACCTTCGTGTCTAGAGATTGGTGATCGTCAAAATGAATCGAATTCTCCATGGGAACCTAAAAAATCACATGTGATTGAGGATTTGTTGACTTTCCTAGAAAAACTACCTTATTCAACTGCTGAAGAGTATCGTCGTAGACTCTAGTTTTCCTTTCAGCATCTTTCAGTTCGCCATGCAGTGCTGGAATAGGGTGACTTGGTGGAAATTCTGATTCAGGAGAAAACAAGTAAATCACATTCACCAGACGATATAAATAGTTCACAATGATTAGAAATTGAAAGGGAAACACTCCAAACCTATCAATTCAGCCTCCGAAAACTTCCCATTCCTAGCGGTTTCCCACAACTGTTGCAAGCGCTCGTCTTCAAATCCTTCCAATTCTGATACCTTCACATGATGTGCTCCAGTGGAAGGTTCATTTTTATGCTTCATTTTCTGAATTAACAAATACTACACCAGCACGTGACGACAACACTGAAGTAAACAACAGGAAGCGCTCAATAGAAAAACCTGTGTCAGATCAGGGTCAAGGTTCAGTCTCAAAAAGTAGCCAACACCTACGACACAACTCCACAAAGCGTGCAATGTAAGTCCAAAAAGAATAGAAACAGCTCTAACACAAAACATTTAACATTACACATATATTACCAGAGATCTCAATGCATTTTTTATTAGGTCCAGTCGACGAGACACGAGGGCCTAAACCGCATATCAGCGTTTCCAAGCCATTGTGCAAAGGATACACAAATCCCTTACTCGTAACTGCCAACTACGCGATAAATCCGCAAGTCTCACTACGGCTGGCAATAGCCCGACGTACTCAACGGCTACGCTTGGCAGAATACCCAGAGTAAACGGTATCACAGAATGAAGAGCCCACGCCAGATGAAATATGGCGGCACCAGGTTCCATATTATCTTTCCGAGGCCGACGGATGGAATAGAGTCCGGCAACTTTTCGCGCCAGCTCCGTCGAAGGACGCCCGATTGCCGCTCGTCAAGTGTAGAGAGACTTTGCGTATGACTGGCATTACTGAATCTGAGGCGACAGATTCCAATATACACAAACGCAGAGCGCATAAAAAAACAAAAGAGGAAAGAACACCGGCCCTTTGAAACTCACTAATTCTGTGAAGATGGCTTACAAAGAGCTCGTTACGCAATGTTATTGAAGAAATACCTCCTTAAAAGCATGGACAGCTTGCTGAAGATCATATTTTTCCAACAAAGCGACGAGCTTCTTGTCAATTTTCTCCATCTGACTAGTGAACTCTTGAGCACTCCGTGATTCGTGAGTTGCTTTTGTGTCCATATATACATTATCATAATTATTAAGCTCGCCCTGAAATAGATGGTTTTGATATGGTGTATCGGGTTGCCCTAAGAAGGATGCAGTGGTTAGAGAACAATTAGGTGGATAGATATATACGATCATTTTGCATAATCTGATGACTGTTTACAGAGAACTAGATTCCATACCTAATTAATTATAATAACAAATTTATAAGTAATATGCTAATTAATTATTTATTAACAAACTAATCAGTTAACACCTTAGCTATGACTCCTCCTTTTGCGACCCACTCAGACATTCCCTTCATTTTTCGAGCGCGGTAACCAGTATAATAATTATGTGACCGTGGAGTATGCCGTTAAGAGCAGAGCACTCCAGGAGGCAGTGGAATGATCACAAAAAGATTAGACGCCTACGCCCGCTACAGGAAAATCTCTTCTGAAACCTGATTGCAGGCACGGAAATTTCTGCGCAGAGTTGCAGTGAGTCAGCAGCGCCTACGCATGGTCAACTTAAAAGTGCAAGAAAGAGAAATTTCAACTACTTCCTTAAATTCTCCCACTCCAGAAAATTCAGTACATACTCTACCAATCAGTTACCGAGAAAAACTCAAATTGTACATAAAACAAATATATTCATTGCGCTAAGCATGCTCTGCTTCATCGATAATTCTTACAGAGACGACACAAGTCCCATAAAAAAGACCTGAGTGTTGTGTCGCTGAACGTGCACGAGTTATTCAACAATGGGTACAATCCGACCGTATAAGGCGAGTTTTTCGACTGGATCGTGTTTCAGTGGTGGAGCTCACAATAAGAAGGTTTTTTAAAAGGGCCATTAGATTAGATAGAGGTGTGCGTATTCCGATCGCCAGCTGCAGTCCATTGAAGGGATATCAAGCTTTTGGGCACTGACATGCGATCAACTTTAACTGTGAACGTGTCCACATATTCGAAGTTCTCAGGATAGCTGCTGTCGGCATTCTTGCAAACAGGGTGACCTAACAATGACTTTTAGGGAAGCCATAAAAAAATTCATGCGCTTTTAACTCTATGATCAGTGCCACGGGCGTGTTTGGTAGTAATTTACTGCCCTCAGACAGATGGAAGATTTGGTTGGCCTAGACGAAGTACGATCCAGGATTTGATCCCCAGACCGTGCGCGTATTAACAACGCCACTTGCCACCACACCACCTCCATCCTTGTCTACTACTGAAAAGGAAGTGCAGTAAAATTACTCCATTATCCTGCACTGTACCCCTAACCTCCGAATGTCTGCATGTTTCAACTTGAGCGATCCAACTTGCAGGCAATCTGATGGTATTGTGATTAGAGGTCAGAAATTATTCCTGCTCTCCTAAATGCTCAGACAACGACTGAAGAGATCCGCAACGTTCAAAGAAAAACGCATAACCACGGGCCTCAAAACCAGCCCCAAGATGAATTGCTTTTTTTTGTTTTAACGAACCGCCGATGTAAATCATCCGATAATGTGTGCAGCACGGCACTACGCCCTGCCCGTTTAGCCTTATGGTCGTGTTAATGCTAAACACATTCAAGGCAAAACACGGAGAATATGTACAAGCACCACGGCTACCGAACAAGAAGGCAATTTTCCTTGCTCTCAATTTCAGTCAAAAGATCGGTCTTCAATTAGACAGTGAAAGCGCAGTCCGTCATAATCCTATTATGGTAAGAAAGCTATTTCAAAAAAACATTTCCTCTTGGAACAGTAAATAGTGCGATGTCTGTATGTTACTTAGCTAATTCCTACTACTGTGGCACCTCTACATTACTGAAACGAATCTATTCTGATCCTATCAACAACATCCTTTGTCGACACTTAGATAGTAAATAACTAAAAAGTTTGAGCGTCATCGCAAGGCAAAATTGCGGCCAAAACAGCCACGTTCAAAAACAAAACACCCTCAAAAAAATGGTTCTAATCGTGTCTTGCCAGGCCGCGTGCGCCAAACGGCAGAGCACGCCTTCCGCAATTCTATAACATGAAATTCATTTATTTAGCGTCGAAGCCGTTTGCTGAGGTTATTGAAAAGATCCATTCATGCATCTTAAAGACAATGGCAATTTTTCTAAGAAGCAGCCAATCTTTATAGAAAGAGAATCCCACTAATGTAGTTGAATTGTGCTTGACTCACAGCATTTTTCTGGATATGAAAAGATTTTGTAGAATACTTTTTCACTTGAAGCAAGCTTTTGCTCAGCGAAATTCTGAGTGAATCACCACGGTATTTCTTGTCTTGTCGATTGCTTTCTATCTCTACGCTTGCGACGTATGTTATGTAAAAAAAACTCATTCTTCCCCTTATCGCTTGCGAGATTTGTTATGAATACGACATGAAGCACTGACATTAAAACGATCGTCGGATGGCATTACAGACAAAGTCGTCGTAACAGCAACACATTTGAATTTTCTTCTGAATCTTCGTGTTTTACTTCAATATCACCATTACGAGATCTTCAAATATTACCATATTCGGGATTACGAAAGATTCTCAGACAACATTACCCCACCAAGCGCTTTCCGTATTCGCAAAGAGGCCGCATTCGCAAGGATATTCTGCGGAAATGCCGGCCCATAGAAGAGTAACAGAAAAAGTTGATGCAGTAGCTTACACTCGAACAAAGCCTATCGACAGCACTTGAATAGAGTTGCGTGACCAAGGGTTGCGAATTGTGGGCGAGGTAATAACCGTTTCTAGAGAGGCTCTTCCTAATGTCTTCCAATGAAATTCACCAACCTCGAGTTTTTGCAGACGTTTTCGATCGGCGATATGCTGAAGGGCTTTTTCATAAATATATTAATCTTCTCAGAAGCGCCACTTTGAATATTAGAGGGGAGGATTCTCGGCGACAATGCATACCTGTAGCCATCTAATCAACATTCAGAAGAATATCTGAAAACAGAATAAAAGTCATCGTAAATTAATTCGATTAGCTAAATGCGGAGTTTGTAAGGTGATCGAACACAGCTACTGCTGAGTGCAATTTTTTGCCGGTAATTCAATATTACATCTATATTCCAAAGGAGAATCGTAGAAGTTACACAGAGCACTCGTTTTTGAATATGAGAATATTTGGCTTTACCTTGTCATCTTTCTACGCCTTGCAGGTGAAAATTATTCTTAAAGGTGAAACTGTATTGAGTGCTGTGCTAAAATTTCCTGATAGTCGGGCACACATTCTGCCATGCTTTAGTAAGCGCGCGAAAGTGCTCGTTCGCATGTGCGTATGATTCGGATCTATTTCCACTGGAGAAAAAAAACAGGATTGCAAATCGCAAGCGCGAGGTGTGCCATCTCAACATCAGTGTACGTATTCTAAACTAGCGGAAAACAAAGAATTGATGGAAACTGCGGAAAGCTTCAACTTCTACTTCCAGCAAGCGTAGCGCTTTTTTTGGCAAGTATAAACCCATATTAAAAAACAGTGATCTGAAACACCAATGCGAAAAAAACCAGAAGATTCCATCCCGAAAGTTTTTTTTCACGTATCAAAACAGCATTTGAGCGGGAGAAGGTAGCTATTTATATCTTGCATGGCAGCACATAACATTTACTATCACAAGAAATCATATTAACATTGTGCCACTGGAATCTGGAACCTTTACACTGAGACCTCCACAGCTGCATAACTTACTACTCTCTGGGGTCCTATAACTTACTTTCACTTTATGGGTATGCGAGGACTACTTATTCTTGATGGGTTAAACCTCAACACTCATAAAAATGAATGTACATATGAGAAAACCATTACTCTGTCCTTCGCAGTGAATGTAAAGTTCCTCATAGCAGGGAAACTGTATGGGCCGATCGATAGTCGCCCGCATCAGAAAAGAGGTTTGAAGTTATTTATAGGTATATCTCCCTAGAAGGCGGACTTTATGTCTGTTGATTGGCTCGGGTGACTAAAAGATCAAGAAGATCATTCTAGTCGAATCGGATGATAACCGGATAAAAATGACGGAACAGATGGAAAGTTTCCTTAAAACCATGAGTTCGAAAAAGCAGCGGAGATGTACAGCAGGAGTATTTCCAAGGATCTGCGACAGTCGTTACACAATCTTCCCATTGAAACAATCAGAAATTGTCAGGGGGTCTTCCAGTTAGGTGGAGTTGGGGCGTCTGTGATGCAGTTTCATTTCCAGAAGGAGGGTACTCAGCAGCGGGGTGTAAGCAGTCTAGAACGTGGGGGTGAACAGTCACTTCACATGCGTGAAAAGCCGGAATGTTCGAGTTGGCGAGAAACTGCATCATGATACTCCCCCCCCCCCCCCAACTGGAATAGACCCGAATTCAGATATACGGAGACTCGTCACAGGCCTAGCATTACCACCGGATTTTCTTTTCAGAAGGCCTCAGCTTTGCCCCGTGAGAAGGGACCTTAACCCGTTTTGTCCTTTCCAGTCAGTTTTTCTTACCCAAAACGAACACGTGTTAATGCTTTCACGAATTTGCAGCTGCCACTAGCGCGCTGAAAAGACCACTCCCCAGTTGGAAGCGGATGAAGGAAACCTATCGAAGCGAGAAATCGGTTGTGTACAGCTTTCGAGACTTCACAGAACTAAATCGAAAGCTTAAAGACCATAAAACTCAAGGCTGCAACGAAATTTCATTAGGAAACGACCGCGAAATTGAGAAGACGCGGAGATCGCGCGGCATCGCGACATCGCACGCGACGAGGGAGGTGCGCAGAGAAGCGAGAGAAGTGAGACACGCAGAGCAAACCACTCGCTTCGGCTCCTCGATATTGCACCCTCCCTCCCATCATTTGGGACTCTCTGGTTTCCTTGGTATGGATTTCATTGTTTGTGATGTCCCGCAGAGGCTTTCCCAACATCCGCTATCAATATAAATGCCAAAACGTGGGGGGTATCGCTCTATTTTATACCTGTTTGGATTCGTCACCTGGTTTGCTCTCTTTTCCATTCCTTGGTCTGACTGTTTCCCAAAATCCTGATACATCAGGTCACCCTCAATACCATTAAAATGTGAAAATGTTGTAGATATTCACTTTGGAATGGAATAAATCGATAACAGGCAAGATTGGGCTTCTTTCCAATTGCCTTCCTTATTAGGGTCGCCACGAACTTCACGTATTGATAGCGTTTTCTTGACTAGTTATGTTATCTATCTATACTATGTTCTGCACCAGGAATGTGGCAACACTTGCCAATGCTGATTTCATCTGACTCACTTTCTCTTCAGAACTAGTGGGGTGTTCTCCTTGACGTGATGGGGATATGATGCTAAAGGGTGATTCACTGGTCATGAACAGAGTGATCTTGGAAGCTCGCTGCTAGTTAGGGACTGGTCTTGGTTTTGCAGTTCGAGTGATCGTGAAATTGCGCGGGGTGTGGTTCACTAGGACAGAAAGCGACTTTTTCGCGTTTCGCAGCGCGAAACATTTTTCGCTGCAGGAACCTCAGGTCCACCGCTGATCATGAGTGGACCGAGGTTCCGCAGCGAAAATGTTTCGCGCGCGAAACGCGAAAAAGTCGCTCTCTGTCCTAGGAACCTTGTCCCTTGCGCGGTCGCACGGTAGCATGTTTGATCGACACGAATCTACCTCTAGAATATACGCAAGGTTGCAAATCGCAGAGCCGCAAGATCGCAAAGTATGGCCCGACCTTTATAGTAGTCGTCTTGCTCTAACCAATGGCATTTGGGTTGACTGGTTTCGATCGAAATTGTGGGGTAATACAAGTATTGTAAAGCTTTTTCTTTCGTATTCATCGTCTTTGATGTGCAATGAGGCGTTAACCTTCTTAGTATTTGAATCGTATCATGGTTCCTTCGTGCGCGAATCGTTGTAGCCGATTCAAGTGCATAGTTGGTATCTTTTGACCATGGTCAACCATCGCTGATTTTCGCGATTTGCGCGAAACCTGCGACGGATCGCAAAAATTGCAAGTGCCCCATTTGAACATTTGAAACACTGAATATGAAACAAGTGGTATCATGAGCAGTCTTCACTATAGCCATGTGGCGG